CTTAAATCCGAGCTGCAAACCATAAAAAAAGGTAATGATTCTATCACTGTGTATTGGCAAAAAATTAAAGAAGCATGGGATTTGTTATCTGCTGCTGGTGTATTTTTTGATGATGATGATATAGTGATTCTTACACTAAATGGTCTGCCTACTGAGTTCAACACCATAAGTTCTGTGATTAGGGGCCGTGAAACTGTGATATCATTGAAAGATCTTCGGTCTCAATTGCTTGCTGAAGAAACTCTGGTTGAAACTATTCCTCCATCACCGGTGTTATCTGCACTAATGGCACAAACCAATGGCTTGCCATCCAAGAATCAATCTTTTTCTGGTTCTAGTGGAAATTATGCTAGTTCTAATTCCAATGCATATAAGTCCTTTAATCAAAATGGTAAAGGCCAAAATTGGTTTGGAAACAACTTCAATCCAAAATATGGTACTGGAAAGAATTTTCATTCAAGTCCGGCACCTGGCATTCTTGGTACATCACCACCACAAACACAGAACTATGGCTTTCAGGCTCAAATTTGTCAATTTGTGGGAAAAATAATCATTTGGCATCTACATGTCAATTCAGAAATACCAATGTCTCCCAAGGTTGTCAAATTTGTGGCAAGCATAATCATCTTGCTGACACCTGCAGATATCGAAATACAAGTAGTGCATCAGGCTGTCATGTATGTGGGAATCCATATCATAGTGCAGAAACATGTTTTCAGAAGAATGCAACGTCTCAAATGAGTGCTATGCATGCTTCAATAACCAATGGTACTTACTCTCCATTCTTAGTGTCATCAGCACCATCTCAGCAACAAGTTTGGCTTACTGATTCTGGTGCAAATAATCATATGACATATGAACTGGGAAATCTCTCATTGTCAACTCCATATCCTTCAAATGAGATCATTCAAACAACTAATGATGAATGTTTAGCTATCTCATATATTGGTTCTAGTCTTCTCAGAACTCCAATGCAGCCTATTAGGCTTCATTCTATTCTATATGTGCCAAAACTGTCTCAAAATTTATTATTTGTGCATAAGATCTGTTTGGATAATAACTGTTGGTTGATTTTCGATGTTTTTTCATTTTGGATTCAAGACAAAACCACAGGGAGGATACTCTACAAAGGGTTGTGTCATAATGGATTGTATCCTATCATCTCACCACGGTTTCATCCAGCTATCGATAAAGGAAACATTGCCGCTTTTCTAGGAAAAACAAGTTATAGTCAGTATTTGGCATAAGAGACTAGGTCATCCCTTTAATTCCGTTGTCTCTCAAGTTTTAACTTCCTCTCATGTTCCTTGTGTTGCTGATCAAGATCCTTCTGTGTGTCAAACATGTTTAGAGGGCAAATTTAGTAAACTGCCATTTTCTTCTTCAGGAGACAAATTTGTAAAACCCTTTGACATTGTCCACAGTGATGTATGGGGTCCTGCTCCTTGTGTTTCTCTAGAAGGATTCAAATATTATGTCACATTCATTGATCATTGTACAAAATATTGCTAGATTTTTCCCATATGCAATAAAAGTGATGTTTCCGGTATATTTGTTTCCTTTTACAATTTTATCTTCAATCAGTTTCAAACTTCCATTAAAACTCTCCACAGTGATGGTGGTTGTGAATATATAGGTAAAGCATTTCAAAAGTTTCAATCTGATAAAGGAATAAAGCATCAATTGTCCTACCTTCACACACCAGAACAGAATGGGATAACAAAAAGAAAACACAGACATATCATTGAAACATCCATCACTTTATTACAATCTGCTTCCTTACCATCTTTGTTTTGGTCTTTTGCTTGTCAAACCTCAGTATATTTGATTAATAGGAAGCCATATCCTGTATTGGGAAATAAGTCTCCATTTCAATTGTTGTACAACTCTATACCTGCAATACAACACCTGAAAGTGTTTGGGTGTTCTTGTTACCCTTGGTTGAGGCCATACACTAGTATCAAATTAGATCCCAGAACAACAAATTTTGTATTTTTGGGGTATGCATCCAAGTATAAAGGTTTTCTCTGTTATGATGTTTCTAAAAACAAAATGTATGTTTCTAGACATGTCTTATTTGATGAGACAGAGTTTCCTTATCATTCTCTGGTGTCTAAATCTTACCCTAGTTCTTTTTCACCACTACCATCACATATATCAATCCCAAATCTAGTTCCAAATCAAAGTAATGTTCTTGTGTTTCCACAGTCACCTCAACACTGGACTTTCAGTTCATCATTAGGTTCTATACCATTAGATTCAGATTCTATACCTAGTGTCATGCCAAATACTAGACTACATCAATCTTCAGCAAATCATCCTACAGTCCCAATTGCAGTTTCAAGTTCCAGTACAGACTGTTCTTTTACTGGTCAATTCATTGGTACATCAACAACACAGCCCTTATCCTCTACATTCCATGTGGTACTGAATTCCAACCTGACCAACTGCAAGTGGTTCTCTCTATTCCTCAATTAATTTACATCCAATGCAGACACGATCAAAGAGTGGGATTGTTAAGAAAATTGCTCTACTTGCTGCTATTCATGAAAATAGAGGTGTTGATTTGACTCAAGTGGAACCTGCAACATATAAATTTGCATTGAAATCTCCAGTTTGGTATGATGCTATGAAAGATGAGATCTCAGCTTTCCATAATCAAGGAACATGGTCCTTGGTTCCATTGCCCAAACACAAGAACTTAGTTGGGTGTAAATGGGTGTATAAGATAAAAAAGAAGGCTGATGGTTCAATTGGGAGATATAAGGCACGACTGGTGGCAAAATGATATAGTCAAGAAGAGGGCATCGATTATGGAGAGACCTTTAGTCCTGTTGTTAAATCAACAACAGTCAGACTAATCCTGGCTTTATCAGCACATTTTGGCTGTACTTTGAGACAATTGGATGTGAAAATGCCTTCCTCCATGGAATATTGAAAGAAGAGGTCTATATGACACAACCACCTGGGTTTGTTGATCCAAAGTATGAAGATTATGTTTGCAGGTTACATAAATCACTATATGGTTTAAAACAGACACCACGGGCCTGGAATGAAAGGTTCAGTACTTTTTTACCATCTTTGGGGTTCAAGTCTACATATGCAGATTCATCATTAATTGTGAAAACTATTGATAATTCTGTGGTGATCTTGCTTTTATATGTTGATGACATAATCATCACAGGGAGTGCTACACAAACTATCACTGAAGTTATTCAATCCCTTGCTAAGGAGTTTGAAATAAAAGATTTGGGACCACTTCACTACTTTCTGAGGATTCAAATTGTGCAGAATAAGGATGGCTTGTTTCTTTCCCAAGATAAGTATGTTACTGATCTCTTAACTAAGTCTGATATGCTATTATCCAAACCTTGTGTTACTTCATGTTTGCCATACAATAGACTGCTCATAAATGATGGAAAGCCGTACAATAATCCTTCATTGTACAAGAGCTTGGTTGGTGCCCTACAATACTTGACATTTACTAGACCATACATTGCTTTTGCAGTGCATCAAGTCTGTCGATTTATGCAAAGACTAATGGAATCACTTTTTGTGGCTGTAAAAAGGATCCTCCGGTACTTAAAGGCTACTCGAGGATGTGGTATTCAATATGTCAGAGGCCTTCTTGATATAACTGCATATAGTGATGCAGATTAGGTTGGAGACCCTAATGATCGAAGGTCAACTACTGGAATGGTGGTGTTCTTGGGTTCTAATCCTATTTCATGGATGTCCAAGAAACAAAACACCATATCTAGATCATCAACGGAGGCTGAATATCGGGCATTATCTACTACAGCTGCTGAACTGGATTGGATCAAGTCTCTGCTGCATTTTCTACATATTCCAATTATTGAGAAACCCCTTCTTTTTTGTGACAATCTGTCTGCGATAGCCTTGACTTGCAATCCCATTCAACATTAACGAACAAAACACATTGAGGTTGATGTCCATTTTGTTTGAGAACGGGTAGCAACACAGCAACTACAGGTGCACTTTGTGTCTTCAACTGAGCAGTTTGCAGATATACTTACCAAAGGGCTTTCTGAACCTATTTTCCGGACTCATTGTGCCAATCTTAGGCTCAATTTCTCTGCTCCTGAGCTTGAGGGGGGATGTTAGGAGTATTAAGATCCTATGGCTGTGAATTAGACATGTGTCAAGAGATTAAAGAGTTAGTTAAAGTTTGTTATAGTGTAGCTTAGAGTGTAAGCTACCAATGCAAACTATGTAAACTTTGTAACTATCATTTGTAACTAACAAGAAGGATAATACATTTATGAAATTCTCTTCTCTCTCTAAACTCTCGATCTTCTCTTCTCATTCTTCTCTCTTTCTGCATAACTATCTTCATCAACATTCTTCAATAGTTTACAATTGATTGGCGATCACGTTAGTGTCGTGCCACTTCCACTCGAAGGCTAAAGATAGATCGAGTAGCAAAGGCGCGGAGACAAAATTGCCTTCTAGTTGAGTGTCTAGCAAGATAAGTTTTGTAAGTCCTTTTTGTATTTATTTCTCTTAGTGTTTGTCCTGGCTTGAAAGCTCGAGGATTTTCCCAATTGTGGATTTTGCCTCGTTAAATCCTACATCATGTGTGCACATTTTATTTAATGTTTTAACTGCATATGTGTAAGATAATTTGATATGTGTTGTGAATGTGGAAATTAAATTAAATTTGAATTGGATTTTTTTTTAAGTTGGAACCTGTTCACCCCTGTCTAGGTTTAACTAGTACCCATCCTAGAACTTTCACCCCTCTCTATCCCACATGCATTGGGTGATTACTTTCTCTTTGAAAATGACTTGTTTTTCTCCTTTTAGATTCCACCATCTAGTCCTTGGGCACTTCAAAGTCTTGTTCTTTTTTCTCTCTTGTGATATGTACATCCATCACCAACAAGCGATGTTGATTAGCCAAGCTCTCTTCCGGTATAACTTTGCAATCCTTACAAGTCAAGAACACAGAACATCAAAAGATGAAGTTTTTTCAGTTTTCATTCCTCCATGTGGTTTAGGCAACGTAGACTTTCCCCTTTAAGCATGTACTCAAAAGCCTTGTTGATTTCTGAGAACGGGACTTCGTGGGTGATGGATTTCTCTAGCTCCAGTTCCTGCAACATTATTTAATTATTGAGTGTTCACTTAAAATTTGGGAAAACAGGAATCGAAATCAGCCTTTTACCTTGTTCATGTACTTCTCCACAACAGAGGGAATGTCCGTTCGAGGCTTGTAGTTTCCGTAGAATGTACCCTTGAGAGTCCTCTCAGTTAGAAAGTTAACCAGATGCATCTTGAAGACGGCTTCTTTGTGTGGGACTCCCACAAGAACAGCAACACCCCAACCCTGAAATTAATAGCAGTTTAATTATGTGATTACTTGTTAATAATAAGAGTTAATATCAGTTTACTGAGTTTCATGGTTTTCAACATTTAGTACATAAAGTTTTTTTTCATCCCAAAGTGGTACCTAAAGTTATAATCTTGGGACACTTTCATACATCCGTTAAGGTTGCTGTTAAATCAACCGTTAACTGATGATGTGGCACCCACGTAGACAATGACCGGGAGCCACGTGGATATTTAAAATAATAATAATAATAATAAAATATTTATTAAAAAAAAATCCTAAAAGATACCGATACCTCTCTCTCTCTCTCCCTCCCGTCCGTAATGCCTAGAACCTTAACCCTCGCCTGCTTCAAAGCCCTCCTGTTAGGGTTGAGGTGGTTTTAGAAAAAGCTAGTATGAAAAAAAGTTGGGAGAGTTTTTGGTGTTTGGTAAACACCTCAAACCAACTTTTTTTTCAAAGTTTCTTAGTAGACAAAAGTAGGGCAAATGATAAGAGATGTAGGGGAGGGAACAATTGAAAAAAGATACTTGGCTTCTCAAGGGTATTGTTCAAATACCCTTTATTCATCCATGTCAGATTCTCAATTTAACAGCCTTAATTTGCTTAGATTGCAGACTTATGATTTGGGTGAATCTAAAATTCCTTGTTGGTTACTGAGTTGGTTACTTCTTGCAATAATCTGGAATTTGGAACATTATGCTCCATGTGATTTCAATCACAGGTTTATTTGATTAGTTGCGTTATGGCCAAGCATGAGGTGGCTCCATGTGTACTGTGTATGCTTCCATGTACTACGTATGCTCATTCCTGCTTTCGTGTACATAATGCTTTGATTAGTTATTTCTTGGTTATATTACAATATTATTTGTTCTTGTTTTAATAGATATATATATATATATATATATACAAATCACTAGTTGGTATCGATGACAAAGAATGGGGCATCTTCGTCAAATCCTACAGCTACATGGAATGCCCACAATATATCTATATTTTGTGATGTATGCATCAAGGAGGTTGAGGCCGGACATCGTCTGAGCACTCACTTTAACAAAGATGGATAGGCAAATATTAGAGCTAACTTCAAGGCAGAGACAGGGGTATGCCTAATTACCCGATCAATAAGCAAGTGAAGCTTGTCATTGCTACAATGACTCTTCATAACTACATACAGAGGTATTCTGAATAAGGGTGGGCATGGGCCGGGCCGAGCCCAATTTTGAAGGGACCAGATCAGACCTGGGTTCAAAGGAAACGGGCCGGGGATTACATTTTCTAATATAGGAACCGGACCTTACCCAGCCCAGTTGAAACGGGCCGGTTCGAGCAGGGTCCACTGGTCCCTTTTTTTTTTTTATAATAATAAAATTTGCACAGATTGCAAACTGCACAGATTTGCACAGATTGCAACTGCACAGAGTCACATAGTGCATTTATGCATATTTTGCACAAATTCACCATTATTCACATCCAATCTAAATTCAAAGTCCAACATCCAAGTTCATAAATTAACAATACATCAAAAATAACAATATTACATCGTCCAAGAGAGAAACGAGTTCATAGATTAACAATACATCCAAAATAACAATATTACATCATCCAAAATAACAAGTTCATAGATTAACATCATCCAAAATTCACCATTATGCACAGACTGCATTTATCCAGACAACTGCAAGACAAAAACGATAAAAATGTATGAGTTACTCTTGACCATTTGGGAAATTTACAATAAAACTGTATGATAAATGCTATTTAGGAAATCGAGGTATTATTAATGAGAATAATATCTTTCCTTTATGTAGACAAACTTCTGGAACCACATTAACCCCAAAAACTACAAACTATATCTTTATCAATATCCCTATTTTTCAAAACATTACATAAGCATGTTAAAGTTTATACTTCATAGGTGAAACTGTGAAAGTGTTTCCCGAGAGCAAAAACACGGTTTCCAATCCATAGTTTTCATTTCTTCAGTAGTGGTCACACAGTCTGAACATTACAGCCTGAGCTCGTTTTTGTGTTTGATTTTTTTTAGCTCTGCTTTTATAGGATCATGAACCCTAGATCGATATTGATCACTGTCTTTGCCACTAAGCCTAGCATACAGAATAATAATAATAATAATAATAATAATAATAATAATAATAATAATAATAATAATAATAATAATAATATGAAATTAAAAGGGGAAAAAATCGCAAATATGAATAAATATCTATAAATATTGTCAAACTCAGAGTGGGGCTCCAAAGCTCCATGAAAAATGATTGTGATGCTGATGTAGGCCAAGATTTTGACTAGTTTTTGCATCCAACTCAACTCAAAAGGAATAAGAAATGTATAGACTCACACTATCTAGTATTTAATTTCCTTAAGAACTTAGAAGTTAGAAGGCATCAAAGCTTGCCAAATTGCTGCAAAATTATCAATTCAATCAGCAATCTATTGCAAAGTTAACTATAGTAACCTAGTTCGAAAACCCTAAAATCCCAAATTCCAATTTTAAAACCCTTAAATCCCTATACCCGAAATTCAAATCAATAACAAAACCCTAATTCAAAATTACCTAAATTTTAGAGGAATGATGGTTGGTACCAGTGTCCTCAACGACGGTGATGGATGGGGTGATGGCAGTCGCGACGGCGGGGGTTGCTGTCAAAGAGGAGAGAATCGAAGGCGGGGGTGATGGCCTGAGTTCTCTGGGATGTTATCGAGGAGGATAATGGGTGGTGTCGTTGTGTTCGCTGAGGAAAATCAACGGTTGGTGAGCACTGTGAGGAGGATGACGATTGGAGTCGAGGGAAGAGAGTCGAGTTGTTGAGGGACTGAGAGTCTAAGAGTGAGAGTGAGAGTCGAGACGAGAGAGATAGATAACCTAGGGTAAAAATAAAACTAACGGTTCATATTAGAGATAGTAGCTTATTCATCAATCTGGTCCGTCCATTTCAATTACAAACGGGCCGGTCTGGGTACCCGCGGTTTTTATGCTCCAGGAACCGGCCCGAATCGAAAATCTCAAAAGCTCGCCTCGTTTCTCTTTTTTTAAAATAGGAACCGGCCCGTACCGGCCCCGACCCGCGCTTCCCGTACCCGTTTGCCCACCCCTAATTCTGAACGTGATCGTCATTTTGATGACCCCAGGGACTTTTGTGAAGAGAGCGATAGTAGTGATGATGATGATGAAGAAAACCAAAATTATCAAGTTGAAGGATCATATGAGATAGAGGCATTAAGAAATAGAATAGCGGCAAGTTTGATGAATGCATCTAATTAGACTACTTTCAAGTACATTAACAATATTGTACTAATGAATCCTAGCTATCCAGCCTAAAATATTTCAATTGAAGTAGTCTGTCATACTAATTAATATTTAAGGAAAACTAATAAAAATGGCTTGAAAACTTTGAGTTTTAATGATAAGGACAAAATAAAGGGTAAAGTGAATAGTACCAGGATTGACTTTTTAGTGTAAAAATATGGTTTTTCGTTAAAGTGAACAGTACCAGGAGCTTTTCGTTAAAGTTCCCTAATATTTAAGATAAAGTTTATAAATATTTTTCTTTTAAAATAAAGTATATTTAGTAATTCACCTTTATTTGTTAAGAAAATTAAATTAATAGCACATCTAGTATTATACCCTTTTTAATCATTTCACACATTCACAGTTGTTTTACATAAAAGTTTACCAAACACTATCATACTGCTTTTTTTTTTCTTTCCAAAAGCACTTTTACAAATAAGTTTACCAAACACTCTGCTGCTTTATTTCACAGCTGCTTATTCTCACGGCGTAGCAGAATCAACTTTTTTTCAAAGCACAACAATACCAAACCAGCCCTTATTCCTTCCGTTTTCCTCAACCTCTACTTCCTCTTCCTCCACGAGCCGCTAGCCCTTCTCTTCCGCTACACTTCCTCCCCACCACGCACCGCCACTTTGTCTTCGCCATCACCTTCTCCTCCCTCTCCTGGTCCTGCCGTGAGCCCTACCTCCGCCTCTGCTGCTCCTCCACCTCTACCAGCGCCTTCACGTTTCTCGATCGTGCACCAATTGGTGTGAAAATTACTTGACACACAAATTAAACCCTCTTTTGACAATTGTAGTATAGATGTAAGTAGGGTATCGTTCTAGGCCGGGGATTAGGAGGGATTGCTAATCTATTCTAAATTAATTTAAAAATATTAAACAAGACTCAAGGACACAAAACTAGGCTAAAAACTCTAATAACTCGAAACACTTAGAATGACTCAAAATAATGAAAACAATCAAATTAAACACTAGGAATTGAAATGGACGAAAATTGAATTAAAAGACTAACAACAATGAAAACTAACTAAATAATATAATTTAATAATGGGGGGTTTGGTTTTGATGAAAAGTAAATTAAACTTAAATAAATTACAGAATTGACAAAAACATGAAATTAAGGTGAAATGATAAGTGACGGATTAGCTAGAGGGTTCTTCTCCACACATGACACATATGCAACCTAAATTGATTTTCAGTTGTTCTTTCAATAAATTGTAAATCTCAACGCCCCAAATTAACCGTGAATTGCACTAATTAACCCTCAGTTTTTCCACAAGTTATTGGGTTGGATGATTGCATACGACAACCCAAAACATTCCCTTGCTTTGGAGCTTCTGTTTTGCTCCCACCAGCTGCCACGGGGCAGCTCTTGTTTCTCTCAGTCCTTCACATTGCACAAACCTTTCCAAGTGCTCACGCTGCCAGATGCCGAGAGGAAGCAGCAACCTCGTGTCCTCTGCTGCAAGAGCAGCCTTTGTTTCTTGTCTTTGCACCGCCAGCTACATGCACCGCAAGGCACCTGCACCGAGGCTCCTTTCTCCTATATTTCTGCGCTGCCAAGGGCAGCCTTCGTCTTTTTCTTCTCGCTGACCTCCCCGTGTCTATCTCCCTGTCCTACCCTGCTTTCCTTTCCGCGTCCGTGTCAGTCTCTTCTCTCTCTCCCTACCTGACCTTCT